TATTTACTGTTGGACAGGTTTTTAATATTGGTGTTTTCAACAGCACTCGAAGGCAGCGTGAGTAGTATTTCTTTGAGGAGTTGGGATTGTATTCTCTTGCTCTCTCTCCCTCCCATTGACAGCCACACACAGTCACATGCGTATAACCAGACGGAGACCAGTAATAATGCAGTTTTGTCAATGCATTGCCATGTCGCTCCAGGCCAATAATGGTCACGTGGATGTCTATATGGACTATAATAAGTCACTCAATAAGTCATCCAGGACAATACTGATCCAGAGAGGACAGTCACATCAGGTGGACAGACATGCTGTACAACTCTTATGGTGATTATTATCAGAGTTGTTTTGTTAGTACTAAAATGCAAGGATGTCATTACTGTTTCCAGATCAGCTTGACGCACAAGCAAGCAATGTTATTCACCTTGAATTGGGTATAATTAACACTGTGCATCAAACAATCAAGTGCGCCACAGCCTGTGTGTGTTCCTGCTCAGTTACCATAGTAATATTTCTCTCACTTCCTGGCCCCTTCAGATTTTGTGTGTATGCATTGCCATGGAAACTGACATATTCTTTTGCCCGTGGTTTTTTTTTTTACGCCATTTGTCCCTTTGTCTGAAATGGAACAGAAACCACATGCTGCAGTGCACTGTGTGTCAAAATGGCAATAGTCATCTAACTGCACAGTGCCAGTCCAGTCAGCAAAATCATTCATCTTTCCAGTATAACATCTTTCAGATGTGAAAACAGAGCAACAGCAACAATGACAACAGAAGTGCTGAATCTGGTGCTAAATAGAAGCTTTGCAAGGCTTTAAATACAGACCACTCACACTATTTAACATGCAATAAGCAGTATGTAAACATTTAATAAATGTGTTATAACACTACATAATGTAGTTGTAGGATGATATAAGTATTAATGTATTTGTCAGCATTTATACTTCTCCTGTGGGCACCAATAATTGGAGTATAACAGTCCTTAGAGGCAAGTTATGCCACCCGGCAGCCATCTTGGCAACGCCTCAGGGCAGTTATTTCCTCTTAAAACGTCTCTGAGTATAATCAGGTGATAAATGACAATATGTTAATACGACACAGTTGTAATATAATATAAAATATGTTATAACTTTATACGGTATAATTGTTGACAAACTCTATACATCAATAAACACTTAAACATTTCCTAATATCTGCTTTATATTACATTAAACTGTGTTATGAACCATTTATTTAACATTTAATGCTTGCTTTATAAATGCTTTATAAGGGGACTTCAGGTAAAGTTTTACCCATGCACCAAGCTGTACACTGTAAAGCTGTAAACTGTACACTTAAAATCACTCTTTGACTTTTACCCCGCGTGTCAAAATGTTTTCTTACCTTTCTTTCTCGTAAAGCATCTTCATGATTTATACTGATTTATTTCTGTTTATGCAAAATTTGATTAGGTGCAGCAAACTGGCAGAACATACCATTTGTTAAACTGATCTGATTAGATGTACACAGCCATTCCAGCAAACATCATCTGTGTGTGTGTGTGGGGGGGGGGAGCGGGTCAATAGTTGTAATAAATACAAAGCAAAACAGATGATGGCAGTTGTTTAAAGGCTTAGCAACCACCTATATTTTGGAGACAAACATTAGGAGTGAAGGGATTGTGACAGTAGCTGTGTGGCAGATTTGTCTCTATACAGGCTATTCAAACTGTGTTACATCTCAGTAAACATTTACGTCATACTGAGAGCCACGATAATACATTATTTGGTATTTGGTATTCATGTTACGCTTGCACTGTGGCTTGACATTTGTGAGGTGAGCAGTCTATATAAGCAGTGAGTGAATGAGCGGATGGATATGCGGTCCAGTAACATGTGATTCCATTAACCAATCTCCTAAATGTATACTGCAATTGGTTATTGTAATACCATCTGTGCTTGTTTTGTAGCTCATTAACGGCCATACAGCCAAACTAATTAACATTTACTTTGGTATATTAGAGGCTGACTATGATTGTCTCGAGTGAGAAAATGAGCACTTGATTAGATGACTGTTACTGAATATGTCAGTGAATGGGAATGTTCTAACTGGCGAGGGTGAACGAACACACAAAACTCTACTTTTAAAGATTTAATCGTGAACTCAAAATGACCGTTCACCACGGCAATCAGCTTCTGTGTTTGTGTCTCCTGCTGTTAAGGCCAGGCTTGGATGTCTGACTAGGTAAACTTGGCCGTGGACTCGAAAGGCTTGAAGGCCAGCAGTGTTCTTTTTCTTCACTAAGTGGAGTGCTAGTGTCGAAAAGGAGTTTATTTAAAGCTAAAATCTGTAACTATCCACACATTCTGCATCATGTTTGAATCCCCCCATTTGTAGTTCTTTCACCCATGTGAATGTTTCTAAAACAATATTCATCCTCATCTTTGAGTAATTCTTGTGTCTCTCACTTTTGACAGAGGCTTCTTTTGTTTTTCTGGTCACTGAAGACACTGAAAACATATCCTCTGTACTTATTCACTCAGTGAATGTGGGAGTTTTAGCAACCTGTGGGAAAGTTTTATTCATTCTACAACTAAAAAAACACATGTGGGGGATGTTTTTAAGGCTATTTTATTATTTTTAAACTCAAGACACTTAATGCTGACCAAAAGAAAGAGTCTATATTTGCCTACGAGATTGTTATTCCTAATGACATAAATTAGAGGTTAAGAGCTTATTCTAAAATGAACATTATGTAAAGAAATATATCAGTGATAACACAGTGGTTGCAGATGTGGTGTGTCTTTTTGACCCCCTCAAAAATATGTAGATAACAAATCGTACACGACAGCTAACACCAACAACAAGAATCTACTTTGTCAAAAGTTAAACTGCCCCGGTTGGCCTTTGGAATGTTTCGGTTTGTAAATTTGAATGGTCACACAGGCTTTCAAGCTCATTGTTGCCAGAGTCCAGCAGTGATACCAGGATTTAGTCTTTGCTCTTCTTTCAGCATTCCACAGGGAGTTTCATAGGTTGACACTTAAGAACTCAAGCTCATCCATCCCATTAAAAAATCCTGCTGGGCAGAACCAGCTCGACCGAAGAGAGGCCTCTTATTCTACTTTTCTAACTGTTTGTCTTTTCTTTTGCAGTGAGTGAGTGTGTGTGTGTGTGTGTGTGTGTGTGTGTGTGTGTGTGTGTACTTGTGGGTGCGTACCGGCATGTGAATGTGTGTGCGCCTGCTCAAACTGTGTGTGAGGTCAAGCGGAACAGAAAAGGGTTTCCTCAGCCAGCGATAAGGAATGGCATACAGAGGCGCACACACACACACACACACACACACACACATATAACAGCTGTGTTGGACAAAATGCTCTGTTAAATCAGAGCTACTTCTTGTCGCTGAACTTGTGACAGGCTCATTCACACACACATGCACACACACACTTAGGTGGTTCTCCAGGTTGCCTGTGTTCATGTCTTGCTTTGCACCCATGGCTGTGTGATGGCTCTGTTGCTTGCTTGGGGTCAAATAACACGCGAGGTGACAGCAGGAGAAGCAAAGTGAAGTTATTGACATAAAGTCTTTAGTGTATTGTCTCTTTGTTTCTTTGTCAATTTTTCTAGAAGACTTGAAGCGTAAACAACATTTAAGGGGCAACGTGATGAAATTGTATTTTTTTTAAGATAATAAACTGTGATGTAAACTGGTTCAAAAATCAAGCAATATAAACACAGACACATTAGAGTACACTTGTAAGCCCTTGGTCTGGATAAGGCATTAGATAAATTGCAGCAATACCCCCCTCCCCAACCTCTCTGTCTTCCTGACGTCTTCTCTCAGTAGACACAGAGGAACGCATGACCAGAGATTCAGATGACTCAAATTTTCATCAAAGCCAAAGCGGTCTCTCGGTTTCCACCAATTCATTACAATTCACCTCAATTAAATTCCACCTTGATCACAGATAAAGCCACATCTGCTAAATTAACCTGTCAGTGGCTGAAAAATGAGTGTGACGACTGCTTTCTATATGCCCCGTAGTAGCCACATGTCCTCCTCCACGTATGCTATGCGTTCTTAATGCTGGTTTATGTGTGTGGGGTGCATATTGCAAATCCATCAGTGCAAGGCCTTTTCATGTCCTCTCTTGCTCCTAAGAAAAAAGCAAGGCTACTTCCAGCTTATACATTTAGTTTGGCTTGTGTTCTAACATTGCAATAGTTGGTTGTACTACATTTCATCTATTCCCAAGCTCATCATCCTTGATAATCACATGGAAAAAGGCTTTTTCAATACTATTACTATTATTAGAATGCAAAGCCAAGGGTTCACTCAGTTTCACATGCAATAAGTCCAAGGAAGGCCAATGTAATTGTTTAAATGATTTCTACCCTGAAGAAGACCCTTTGAGGTTGAAACACTTTTTAATTCTTTTTGTGTGACTTTTAAAAATACCTTTTATCCTTACTTAGCCTATTGATGTTTTAATTTCTTTACAGAATCATAGATTTAAATGTACTTAAATCAATCTCAACAATAGATCAAAATATAATAAAAAAATATTTATATATTTAATTAAATATTTCCTATGGTAGTTACTGGAGACCAAACAGAGCTAAAAAGAGAGTGACATTGATATTGAATTTTCATTTGCTAGGTGGCCAGAGACACGACTTCAAATGAATGCTAATGTTGCTCCGTGTCGGCGAAATGCGTAAATAAGTAACCATTAGCCAAAAACTGTTTGATTTATTGATTGCCACCTGGCTATAAAGACAATTTCAACAAATATAAAAAAAAATTCTTCTGAAATAAATTGCTTACTCCAGCTTTAAAAAAGCTGAATGTGTTAGAGTTAAGTTTTCAGCTCGTTTCTGCTGCCGCCAAGTGACCAACAACAGTTAATGCAAGATAAGATTTGAACAATATTTATTTTGATAAAGAATAGGCAACCCTACTATACATTTGGTTTATATGTTCCTATTCTTTGTGTTAACCTTTGTCTACCCTAGGGTGATTTCACGTGGAGCAGCCTGTCGGGGCGGAGCGTGCGTCTGATGCCAGTTGCCATCCAGAGCCTGTCGGAGCTGGAGAGGGCCAAGCTGCAAGACGTGGCCTACACCCGTTTACACCAGGACTATGACCTGGGATGTCAGATAACTATGCCAAAAGGTGGGAGCATGTGTGTGTTTTTACCCATGTTGCAGACCTGAGTTAAACAGTGTTACATAATTGTTATGTTTGTGAGTTCCGTATGGGTGGAATTTACTGCTTGAGCATACTTCAGATAGCATCTGGTTTTTAAGACCACAACATTTATGTGACTGTTAACCGTGACAAAAGACATCTGTGATTCACTCCGGAACTGTTCTATGTTGCAAATGCGCTCAGTTGATATCCCTAAACCAGGTTTGCTGTGTGAGCTTGTGCAGCTACTTTGAATGCTTGAGCCTCCGACCACATCCTCTTGTCATACCTCAAGTCTATTTAAGGGAAGTCATGTATGGCCTATGGGGAAGCTGTGACAACACATGAAATTAGATGTAAACCATACTTCACACTGGGATCAGGTACTTCCTGTTTGACGTTGTATCTGTTGACCCCCCTCCTCATAACGACACGTGACTCCCTTTCCACTGCAGCTCAGGCTGCAGCCACCCCACTAGTCACCATGTGCACTCTACTATAAAGTCCTAAATGTTGCAAAAGCAGGCTGTATTTGTCTTTGTGGCCTATCTAAAAGCTAAATAACTGTATTTTGGTTTTTCTGTGAAGAAAGGTTTAGAAAATGACGGAATCAGACAAATTAATCCACATATAGCCGAAGTGGGCAGAGCCCTGCACTGAAACTGGTAGACTTGGTGGTTTGTTTCCCACTGGCCCACCCATGCTAAAAATGTCCACATTCATCACAGTTTAAAGAAAGAAAGGAAAAAAATACGTAATCACAATCACACTCCCGCTCATTGTAAAGCAAACAAGTTAATAGCCTTCGTTATTCTGCTAACAGATTAAATGCTTATACTGGAATGCACAACATGTTCAAAAATAGGATTTATTCAAAGAGAATTTCTGGACCTTTGGTCTTTTTTTGTAGTCCCCGGATATGACACAAGCAGTTAGGTGATGTACTCCCTACTAAGCTAAAAAAAAAAACGCTGTATCGTGTGTTTCCCATAATGCAACTCACTAGCATCTTTTGTTTTGGTTTCTCTTTCCTGGTAAATGCCCATGAATTAATACTCAATTTATAACGCAGGCATCATTTATAGACTCTAGAAAGTTCCCTCCAGGGCCACAGAAGACATTATACAACTGTTTGCTATCAGTTTGAGTGTTTGTATCAGTGATTCACAGACTTTTTGTTTTTTTACCCATAAAATGAACTGTTGTTTATTTACAGACTCTTGTCACAGGTTGTGTATTTCTATGAGCTGTGACGAGTTAGACAAAAAGTAATTTTTCTCACTTTATTTTAATTATTTTTAGAGGCCTGAGAAGGTAAAATTGTCCAGTAATTCTGATTTTACAAAAAAAAAAAATTAAATTAGCTGAAAGCTGAGGGGGAAAAAAAATTATAGTTTTCCTCTTTACCGCCCAGTTAATTATCTCATGACCCCCGCAGATCTTTATTTTGACCCCTTGGGGGTTCCTGACCCTCAGGTTGGCTTGTATACAACAAGCCTGAAGACTTGTTTCTTGCCCCACCAGACTTTGTTATAGCCAACCAAAACTGAAAAATATACACAAATTGTAATAAACCAGAATTTTACTTTAAGATTAAGTTTTGTTGTTAGAATGGTCCATTCATGTTCACACAGATGCACATTGTACGCAGCTTTGTTTCACTGCACTGTATAGGAGTGGAGTGGCCGCTATAGCAGCAGTATAGTGCAGCCAGTGGATAATCCAGGGCCTCGCATTCCAGCTGAAGGTTAAACCTCTCCCCACCATGATTTAATACGTTCTTGTCTGTGTTGCTTATGAATTCCAGAGCCCCTAACGGCCGCCATGTGCTAGCTAGGGAAATATTTCAACTTGTGTGTAAGAGTGTGTGTGTGTGTGTGTGTGTGTGTGTGTGTGAGAGTGTGTGTGTGTGTGTGCGCGCTATTTCAGCACCGCTGATGTGGGCTCCTCAGCCCTGCTGTTTCTCATATTTATCTGAGTGCCAGGGGTCATGTTTCTTGTGTTTCTTCAAGAACGAAAAACAGATTACAGAGAGATAGAATTGAAAGAGACATGGGATGAGTGTGGGATGAGTGTGTGATGAGACAGAAAAGAAGCAAAGGTTCTCCACTCAGTTTCCCAACTGGTTGGAAGTTGGACTGAGGAGGTTTGGAGGTTCAGGGGGGATTTCCACACAGCTTTGGGAGCCATCTGTCAAAAATCCAAACCATTTCCTATCTTTGCTTCTCCCTTCTCCTTCTCTCTCTTGCTGCCCTCACTCTTCATCACAACATCTGCTTTCCTTCTCATATGTCACACCCCCTTCCTCACTGTTTCCCACCTATTTTTCTCTCAAACACCCTCAAATTTTACTTCTTGTCCCTTAGACCCCAGGCTGCAGTTTTCTTTACAGCTTGGAGTCTTAGAGGGATGGTTTCTCATACCCCACTACAGTGACAATAAATTGATTATAAAAGAAGAGCAGCAATGTTGAACTCCCTGATGTAACAGGCTAACGCTAACGTGCTGTGGAAGCTGGAAAAAATGTCCTGAGCTCTGCAAGTGACTCATTTGATACAGCAGAAGGGAACATCTGGGGGTTCAAACAGAGGTTGTTAAATGAGCATATCAAGGCAAAGACAGGTCCAACAGTTGGTTTTGGTGACCAAAAACCAAACAGCAGATTGACTGAATGATAGCATTAAAAGTTGCACTGACATCCTGGCCCCCAAGTACATACACGTGCCACGATCTCCAGATTTCCCTGATCATTAATCAGCAAGTCCAGGAGTCATTCATCATGTTGACAGCTGACAAAGTGGCTTTCCTCCTTTAAGATCTGTCCAGAACAAAACCTGGATATGAAGCAGTCACGTACGCACATAAAAACCTCCTTTTCAGTTTCTCGTTTTTGACAATTGCAGTAAATCAATGTCAAAGGGTGGTCACACTAACGTATTCTTACAGCATTTTTCCACACCTACCTAAATCTTTTGCACAGTACTGTATGTCTGTTTGTAGTATGCAAAGTACACTAATAACCTTCCAAGCCAAGACAGTCTTACAGTGGTACAGTGGTTTACAATAATGCATTATCAATCATTTCAACATTCTTTTCAAGTCATCTTTGTGTGGATGAACAATACAAGACATTTAATATATTACGAGAGATGTTTTTTTCTGCTGACTAATACCATAATGGACCAGGTCTGATGTTTAAGTTAAAGATTTGAGTTTATAGACAGCTTTCCCACCCTGTGGTTAATTTACGTCTGCATTCCTGACATAAGCTTATTAGATATAATAAGCCAGATAAGATAGAGCCGATATGGAAACCATTTGTTTCAGATGATTTATTCTCTTGTTTTTTTCCCCCCTGACGCAGATGGACAGAAGAGGAAAAAATCGCTGAGGAGGAAGTTGGACTCTCTTGCAAAAGAGAAGAGTAAAGACAAAGGTACGCCAAGTTCTTTTAACATGTACTCTGACATTTTGCCAGTTCACAGGGTTTTCTATCTCCATCTCTTCTCTTTTAGTCTTTCTTTGTCACCACTCTTAACATCTCGCTCTCATCTCACCAGTGAGACAGTCTGTGGTCTCCACCCTTCAGGCAGGTGAACAGCAAGGTTATAAAAACAGTTTCTGTTTACTGGGCTTTGACAGTTTATATTTAGCTTAAAGTGAAGGGACTCCTTGTAAGGGGACTGGCTCTGAGCAGCAGCCACTCTGCTGCACTAAGCAAAGCATATTTGGCAGAAAGAGAAAAGGATCGTAGTGAAAGGAGCCCAGAGAGAAGCAGGAGATAAAAGGAGCTTTTCTTGTCAAATTTGTGTGAGTGTAGAGGGATGATCCCAGGTCTCATTTACAATAAATACACATGGAATTTCACAAACACACACACCAGTGTCGTTTTTGCTTAGCCTGCAGTGTTCTCAAGGAACTGACTAATACGGTACACATGAGCAAGTAATGGTATCATTGTTGTTCTTTTATACATGTGGCTGTCAGTGATGTTATGACTCTCCCTTGCTTGTGCTACTGTTACACTACATTTCAGCATTTGTCATTATCCTGTAATTGCCAGTGGTTGCCACAGTTTAAGCAATTGAACTAAACTAAACAGTTCATAAAAGCATTATTCATCTATTTCTGGCAAGTAGGTGAATAATAGCGAAGGTAACTTGTGCATTTAGCATTATTTGTCATAATCAGCCATCAAGAATTTAAGTGCTGTTTATTCATTAATTTGGAGTCATACATTATTAAAATTGGCCTTTTGTCAGTGCTATCTTTGTCTATCTTGGAATTAACATTATTTACTACCCCAATAAGTGCAAAAAAACAGCTGCCAGGCTCTGAGTTTCATATTGGAATAATGCTGTTGCTGCTGCTGCTGCTACAGCTGTGTTGTCTGAAAATAATGCACATGCTTTGGCCAGTCAGAACTGGATATTGTCACTGCATATGTGATTACATTGTCTCATGATGAGTATCATGAGACAAACAACCAGTCTCATTCCTAGAACAATATTCATTTTAGGACAAATACTTTGAGTTCTATATGTTATTAACCTGTTGAAGTTTAAGTGGGTTTTCCCACCATTATATGCCTGGCTCTATCTAGCCCTACAGAGCAGATGGCTCAGATGTAGCTGTAGTCTTACATGCCAAAACGGATTCTAAGTTAATTTTTCTCCTGAGGTCCCTGAATACCAGCCCTGCATTTCACTTTGATGCAGGCTAAGCCTTTTCTCTGCAAGAGGGAAACACAGGAGGAAAGGAGAATGCTGACTTCTTTGATGCAGCCACTGAAATCTGAGCTGTTGTGACCAGATATCAATCAAACTATATTTCCAAATAAGGTTTAATAGCTGTTGTAATCTGCTTGGAGTACTGTATGGGTGAGTTTTTACCTCGGATTGTATCAAGCAAATTATCAGTCAAAGCAAAAATTTCCTAATTGGTCTCTGAAATACTTTTTTGACACATTTACTGTACTGTACTGTGTGGTAAACTCCACCCATTTGACACTTTGTGCACATTAAAATAAAAGGTTCATGTTATTTATAACTTTCCTGAGGCTGTGAGAGACTTTCTGCATTAACTTAGAACATCCACCTTATATGAACACACTACAGGGACATGAATAAGAAAAAAAAAGAAACAAAAAAAGAACAGTGCTGAAAACCAAGACTGAGACTGTTGGCCTGGAAAATTAAGATTTATGGAAATCTGACATGGCTTGATAAATGTGGTCTGGCCGTGGACGCACTGTGGAGTGCTGTGCATTACGTCGGCAAAGCACTGTACATTATTCGATCCAGATTGTGCATGTCTGTGGTGTGTTGTGTGCTTGAGTGTGTATGCGTGTGTGTGCAGGTTACATAAGCTAAGTGAACGCTGTGAGGCTGCAGAGCAAATTCGTTGTGTCACAGTGTTAGTGGTCATGTTGTTCAGGAACCACAGCACTTCACTTGTGGTTGTGGAATGCATTTTGCTTTCTCTCCCTCTGTTTTCCTTTGCCTCCTTTCCACACACACAGACACGCACTGACTGAACAGCTGGACTGTTTTTTCTCAGCTGTTGGCTCATGCCTTGGGATTCTGTATAATGGAATATATAGCCTGCGATGGCCCTGTATGACATCACTTCTCTCTGAAGTGCTTTCACCCTCAACAGCACAACACAAATTTGTGTATACGTCTCTTTAAAACGGAACAAAGGCATAAGAGTTTGCTAGATAACATGCTAGCTGTTTCTAAAAATGACCTGTATGGAGAACAGAAGAAGACATTGCTTGTGGGTGAGTCATCAACGTTGTGTTATTTTGATCAAAGGCACTAGAATTAGTGGTCTGTCAAAGCCATATTTTTTGCCAACTTTCTTTCTGTGATGTCTTATTTTGGAAAACAGATGTAGTATGCTATAAGAGTTTTAACTGACATAGTAAACGTGTCGTGAGGCCTTTATCGCATGTAAAAGGGCAAGCTCCAGCAGAAGTAATAAAGAGTTTAATTGGAGATGTGTTTGATGTTACTGTTGAAAGAGTCTAAGAGCTATTTTTGGAAGTTGCTAATAGAACTTTTTTTTCCTTCCACTTGCAGCTAACATTTGGTTGTCCTGTTTTTATTCAGAATAAAACTTTATTCTTTCTTATGTCCTCTTTTGCAATCAACACAAGGTTGTATAATGAAAAAGTTTGAAGTCCCTTCATGCTACACATACAGAACTTAACAGTCAATTAAATGTGGATTAAAAAAATATTTTCCTCTTCTCTCTTTTCTTCTCTTCCTCCTCTTTTTCCAATTTATCTCCCTTACTCCCCCAGAATGGATACCACAGGCCTTCAGTATACCACTCTCCCAGGTCATTGCTAATGACAGAACTCACAGGCAGCGTCAGGACAGTTATCGTCAGGACCCTCCACAACGCGAGGAACACAAGGACTCCTCTGACCTTGTGTCGTCCATTTTTTACGGTCTGTCACTTTCTGATAATCTTTAATTACGTGTCCCTCACTGGACAAATTTTATTATCTTAAACTATGTAAAATAAGCCAAATTGTATGAAGGGAAATCTAACTCTTGGATCATCTATCCTGCAGTTTGCCACCAAGCGACCGTCTAATAAGGAGTTATCCAGCAGTAATTCCTCTTTGAGTTCCACATCGGAGACAGCCAATGAGTCAACATCACCCAATACGCCTGAGGCTGCACCACGAGCACGCAGGAGGGTGAGACAACATATTATAATTAATCCCAGTCCGAGCTACAGACCAGGGGGTCAGGTGGTTGTGTTTTATCTAGTTTAATCTGTCTGAATGAAATGCACAATTAACCTCCAGGGAGGCATGTCAGTGGACTCCATCACAGACCTGGACGACAACCAGTCCCGCCTGCTCGAGGCGCTGCAGCTCTCTCTGCCGGCCGAAACGCCAAGTAAGAAGAGAGAAGCACCGGGACAAAAGGCTGAGCCTCAACCATCTATCGTCAGGTCCCCCGAGTGGTCGACAGCTGCTGTCAGCATATCGAGAAATATGGTGATTAGCTTTCTTTACCAATGTAGCCAACATGTAGGTTCAGCCTGTATTTTATATATCCTCTGTTACTACAATGGGACTATATAGTCATTGAGTATTGAGTTATTTCCTATTGTCTCTCAGGTTTGCAGACTGTGGGCATATTTAGAGTGGGAAGCTCCAAGAAGAGAGTGCGACAGGTGAGTGTTCTTGAGTATTCCCTCGTGTGGTGTTTTGGTGACCATTCACCTCTTGTGCTTTATGGAAGCTTCATTTCATTAAGTGTCATTTGTGCTCACAGACTGGACGCCAAGCGCCGTACAGTACCGTGTATCCGAACTACAAATCAAAGGCTAATTTTGCACATAGTGGAATGCCTTCTTTCTGAGAAATGCCATTCAACATTTTCCATCCACGAACGTCAACAGCAACAAACAAAACCTCCTTTCTAAGAATAGATTGTGTTAGAAGCAACTCAGTGCAGCCAAAATGTTGTTCATGGTGCCCAAGGCTCCCACTGTTGCATTTGCAATGTTATTAATGTAAACATAGCTGGCCCTAATCCTGTCTTTGTTATTCAAGCAAACATATTCTTACTAGCTCCATATACACAAATTACAATAAGTTATTGTCCTTACTCCTACACCTTTCATTATCTAGTACCTTTGACTCCAGTGAATACACAGCAGAAGAATAGGGTTACGCTTCATGGGTCAATCAGTGTGGGCAGCATGTTTTTATAACACCGATTTCACTTGTACCAGTTACAGGGACCTAGAGGCACTTATTGGTTATGAGCGAGGGGAGATTGTCCACTAACCGGCACAAGCACATTGATGGCTGATGTTGAATGTACATTCACTTTTTAGCAATGAATCAGAACAGCAGCAGGGCTCAATGCATCACGATCTATTCACAAAAGGATCTTTTCCCAAGAAAGACCTACAGAAAATAAATTGAATCATATTAATTATTAATGCTCTGTTTGGGATCCTTGAGACCCCTGGCCGTCTTTAACAGCTCAGAAAAAGAGACTAACGTTGTTTGATATTTCATGCCTTTTCTGTTTTTTCTTTGAGAATAAATGTGATTTGCACAATAAAATGTTAAATCAGTTTCACTCACTCAGCAACAGCATTCACAAATAAACGGTGTTTGTTGCCTTGTACTTTACTCTTCATATGTGAGCTCTGGCCCTGGTTAGTCGGTAATGTGCCTTAGGGACAAAAATCAGATAAATCACTTACAATAATGCTATTTCTATTCAAATGTATTAAAATGTGTGCGTCAGCGAATATGGTAAATCAATTCTCTGGTTTCATTGATGATGTACCATTGCAGATTGTTCTGCTGTACAGTATTGATTCCAAACT